GATGTAGCCTTATTGACGAGTCATAGAAGGACGAAACATCTGTATGATGTAGCCTCACTGACGGGTCATAGAAGGACGAAACAGCTGTATGATGTAGCCTCACTGACGAGTCATAGAAGGACGAAACATCTGTATGATGCAGTTCAGTTCATTAACTAACTCTAGTGTTTGTAACTCTAAATTCGTATTTAAAATGATGTACAGACAACAGTGAGTGACAGAATGAAGAGCACATAAACATAATTCACGATATCCGTGTGTTTAAATGATGTGACACGAAGTGAAAGCTACCGTTTATCTATATCACTGTTAGGCATTGGAAAGTACATGCTGTTTAGGCTGGTCAGAAATCACACTTTAGAGATATTTTTATCATGTTAAAATGAAAAAAAGAAAACATAATATACTTAAGACGACTTATATGGCATACAATTCTTTAAGCAATCAATTGCCATTTTTACTTTTGATAATTGATATCATCAATTCAAAATGATCAGATTTCTAATATACTTGCAACATGAAATATTACTATCGTTTTCATTATGAAGTTAAATTAGGAAGGCAACATCAGAGCTACCAATCGGTATAATATTGTAAATGTAATTACACATATTAGATAGATAACATTATGAAAACTGCTGAATTTGATTCTTTTTGATAATTTTACCAAACATATTAATGTAAATACAAGTATATTAAATATTTAGCTGGATTGCGTTTCAAGTGAAACAATTCAAAACCAACCCTATCTTAATTGCACATACGACTGTTTGAGAATCCCACTTACACATGTACATCTGAAGTAAATAATACTGAGTACTCACAAATACACTGTTTAGTCCCAATCAAGCATCTTAGGTCACCAGTTAAACATGTCTGGGGAATCTATGGCATATAGTCACGTAACACCGTCGATAATTCACAAGTCAGCATAGATCATATTTACAACAAGGAACGGCATTTTTGGCCTTCTGACAAACAGTTTTTCCTAGGTAGTTGTAGGTTCTCTCGACTCGTCCTAAGTAAGTATTTATGTCTGTCAGTATTTCCTTGGTCAGCCCGTTAGATATATTTGTTCTATATAAGGTATAGTTCTAACATCTCCAAACCCAACACTACTTTTCTGCGTAAAATATAGTTTTATGATCACGATGACTGCGACCATTACCATAACAAGTTCGTGACTATTACCTGAGAATACATTGTAAATGACTATGACACTGACAAAAACTATCACTTGAGTGACTGCATACTTGAAAAGACCACAAACATCAAAACTGAAGTGAAATTTAGGTAAAAAAACTCCTTTATACCTTTAAAATGTTTTGTTAAACATAATATATATATTGCATGTCAAAAGGTTATCACAGGACTAAAACGATGGGTCTTGATTTGGAAAAGCTTATGATATTTTTAACGTCATTTCCAGCTTTGCTGAATAATCCTTTAAAAAGTGATGTCTTTTGGATCCATTAGGTAGAATCTAGACCCTGTTATCGTTGTCTCAATTGCAGGATCATAAGAAGTGACAAAGTTTGGAATCTTTTTTTTCTTCCTAATGCATTTTTTCTTCAAATGCCAATACTATATCCAGCCATGGATCCACCCGACCTATTATGATATATTAAATTGATATTTGCTGTTCTGTGTTTGCCGTTCATCTTTAAATGAGAACTGCGAGCTGTTATCACGATAGTAAGTAGATTCCGACTCAGAACCTGTGTCATGCTACCGTTTCAAATTATTTTCAATCCTTACACCGTATTAAAAATTGACTATCAACTAAGAAATTTACAGACCTAACCATTTTTTCTATTTATGAACACTGTATACTGATTAATGTGTATATTTGCATCTTCCTGTATGAACGTTGCAGCTAATAACTACCTAATCCATACACCGATAATATCCAACTTCTTGTTTTAAAAACTGAGACGAATTGATATGAGTATTTTGTACCGGACTTTTGAGTTTCTTATGCAACTCAGCTTACAATTTGATTATGTAATCAGGTAAATAAAATACTTTAAACTAACCGGGTCATGAGAAATCTGTTTTTTTACAAATGTACAAGCATAAAATGTATATGATCACATGAAATTAGACGAATAAGAACAAAATAATTATAAAAACATTACATTCCTACCTAACCCTAATATCTAAACTCAAGTCTTATCGTCTAAACTCAACTACTGACGTCTAAACATAACCACAAGTGCCTAAACTTAACCACAAATGTCTGACCTTTAAGATAAATGTCTAAACTTAACAAAACATGTCTAAATGTACCCCCTGACGTCTAGAATAAACTACCAACGTCTGAACTCAACATTTAACTCTAGACTTAACCACAAATATCTAAACATACCCCCTGACGTCTAGAATAAACTACCAACGTCTGAACTCAACATTTAACTCTAGACTTAACCACAAATATCTAAACATACCCCCTGACGTCTAGAATAAACTACCAACGTCTGAACTCAACATTTAACTCTAGACTTAACCACAAATATCTAAACATACCCCCTGACGTCTAGAATAAACTACCAACGTCTGAACTCAACATTTAACTCTAGACTTAACCACAAATAAACATACCCCTAAACATATACCCGTCTGAACTCAACATTTAACTCTAGACTTAACCACAAATATCTAAACTACCAACGTCTGAACTCAACATTTAACTCTAGACTTAACCACAAATATCTAAACATACCCCCTGACGTCTAGAATAAACTACCAACGTCTGAACTCAACATTTAACTCTAGACTTAACCACAAATATCTAAACATATCCCCTGACGTCTAAAATCAAGAGCCAACGTCTGAACTCAACATCTAACGGCTAGACTTAATCACAAATGTCTAAACATATCCCATGACGTCTAAAACCAACAACCAACGTCTGAACTCAACTACTGACTCATTACTCCTATACTTCACTACTTATGTCTAAACTTCACTTTGATAGTCCAAACTTGTCTATTAACATGTAAAAGTATCCCCTAACATCGTTAATGACAACGGTATGATCCAAATGCGTTAAGTTACATATAATGCAAATTATCATATATAATCTTGTTGTTAAAACTGTTTCCATAATAACATTAAAAGTCAGAACATATAAGCACTTAATTATTTCTTAAAATAACGTCTTCTTTGAGTTATTTATATTTTCGCTGTTACAATGTCATTCTTAAGCCCGCCTAGGTAAATCAAGACATCAAAAATTATTCCACACTAAATTGTCTTTTTCCCTCTGTCCGTAAAATGCATTTTGAAATCTTTTATTATTCTGAGTCATCATCTGAGTTATTAGGAAATACTAGCCGAACATCTATTTTTATCTTACTTTGAATATAAATAAACTATTTAAATAAATCGATAATTGACATTTCAGTGATCCATAAAGATATGGATATTAAAATAGAATGACTTACGCAGACATTTACGTGCACAAAGGTGAGCTTTAACAAAATATTGATAGCTATGTAGTTGTAGTAGCTCTTGATTTACATGTGGTGTGTGCGTAAAATTTATTAATTAATCTATGGATGAAAATGTAAACTAATTATTTTTTATTAGAAATCATGATTACTGCTGTTTATACAAAAGGTTGATAGTTTTTACTATTTACTACAACAGACGATTATTATGTATAATAAATAGTTAAACAATCTCCACGTATTGCAGCTTTACTCATCCAGAACATGTATAGACACCGGATCTAGGTAAACCAACGGTAACAGCACGTAACATGTTTGAATGACGTACTTTTGGTCTATTTCGAAATATCAAGGGCTTTACAAGGCACTGTTTACGTAAATATAGAGATCAGGTAGTGGTTTCCAGTGCTATTTATAGATGTGATATTCGATATATAATAGAAGTTGGTGGGCAAAAGATTCGTTTAGTTTAAACTACCGACAAAAGCGACTCAACTAAAGCAAAAGACAGACGATTATATATTTATTTTCAATTTCTATTTTAAAGGTAAGTTGATTTTTACCAGTTATATTCATTTAATGCTATAGAGAGACAAAATCAACTGAAATAAATAAATCGTTGTTCATAATGAAATACCTTAGCATCTAAATAAAATAATACCTAGTCTCCATACTGAGTAGGTCAGAACCACAATCATATGCATGTAACATTTCATATAATTCCAACAGAGACCGATATCTATATATAAAAATATTTTTTCAAAGGATAACGCATCTTTTTTTTTCTATTGTGAACACGTGTTAGTGGTTAGAAATATGTATATCATAGACTGTAGATACACGTGTACCCTCACTGTGTACACATATAGGTCATTTTACCTAGTGTTAAGCCAGAATAACAACATTAAATCCCTCTTGAACGACTTAACGATTACATAACACAGTTTTATCCCCAAGATACAATATTGATCAGACCGTTAACTTACAACCGACATAAAACTAGTGTTCACTGGGTACTTAGGTAGAGTCAGCCAGGGCAGTGACCCTATAGGTCCACAGCGGGATGACAGGGACGTATTGTGTTTCATATACTTATTCATATTTGCAGTAACAGGTGAGTGAGTTTTGGATGTGAATATGATACCCTGACTTTGAAAATATGATCACATAAAAAGAGGGTAGCACACTAACTTCGACAGTCTCATTAAGTCACAGGCAGTACTTATTATTGGCATTGCTTCTTCGGGAACCGTTGATGAAGGGTAAAATTGTGCTGTTGCATTTCGTTACGTTGTCTTATCAAGTGTCCTCACTCAATGGTAACAATGGTTATAGTTGACCATACCGGACTGCTAGCTTAGCCAAATTTTAGATGCAGACAACAGCGCTTTTCCAGGGCAAAGGTAACACTTCAGAATCCCGTCATCAGAAATTACAAGGGAATCCGAGATTTGTATCAATGTTTTTCATTGATTTGGAATAGGTTATGGTTTCAATTATAATAGCTTTTCATACTTCTATTCCAGTTCCACACTGAATCCCACAAGGATGACGGCTTTCATCAAACTGAGTAACGAGACATATTCATCTACTACATCATCGGATGAAAGGTTTGCTAACTTCAGTTTTACACCGAAAGCTGTTGGAGGAACCATGATCGTTTTTAAAGGCCTAATGTCATTGGCCAATCCTATTGGAGCTGATCCAATCAAGGCTGCGGTGAAGTTTTATCGCAATAACAACGACAATACAGCGGGTGATATTTGGAGCCACAGAGCATCGGTTTATACCAAGAGTGCAGCGCTCGGAGAAGCATTTGCTGCAGAGTTCAAAAACATCGCATTCCCTCAATGTTTTATGACCACGATCGAAACGGTATCAACATTTAACAGGCAATTCAAAATGTCGGACGGTCATAACCGGAAATTGAGGAAAAACGAAATCGCTGTATTCGAAAGTTACATTGATGGACGTTTTCAAACATTTATTAATGAAGATGGTGTTATACAAAATGGATGCCCTGAGTATTTGGAGGCATTCTGTCATTACACTTATCATAAGTCACGTGGTAAACTGATCGTTACAGGCTTAAAAGGTGTTAAAACAAACGACAAGTTCCAGTTAACTGCTCCGATAATTCACTCATTGACAGGTACTTTCGGGTCTGATGACTGCGGAAAGGAAGCAATTTTCAAATTCTTTCTTGGACATACATGTAAAAGCAGCTGTAAAACCAGCTGGCGTCATCCACTATCGTCACTTCCTTCTCTGAACCTAGGTCGAATAACCAATATACTGTCAAGCAATCGAAACGCAGGATCAGCAACACCGCCACCGTCATATAAATCTGTGATTCAACTTGTTTGCGGAAACCAGTGTCACCGTTTCCGGATGGGAGATAACTCCGTTGTTGTGTTGCCAGAGCATTATCGTCAACATGTACAGAATGAAAGGGAGATGGATGTATCGGAGAATACGATCTGTGTGTCGGACGCCGTTAGTTCTCTTCAATGTGGATAAGTGTGGTTCAAACGTTAGAACATAGACGTATAGATATCTTATGTCATATTTACTCAACAATGATATAGACATCTTAATAAGAATATTTATTTTTTTACTTTTGATAATCGTAATTTTAACGAACTTAAACATTTCGATACATCGTTGAATATTGATATACCTGGTATTTTAAAGATTTAATTACGTATTCAAATGTCATTTGCTATAAATAATAATGATTTACACGATGTGTTAAAATGATAACTTCTATGTTACTTTATCAATGTTATGATATAAGCTTTTTGTTTCAATATTCTGGTCTCCGGGTGTAAGGATGGGTGAACTGTACTTGCTATCAACCGTGTCGGACTCAATAACGTGCAGCATTATCTTCGTTGGTTGTTCAAACTTTACTTTGTTACAAGGAAATTGTAATATAGAGAATGTACTGAGTTGTATTAAAATCTTAATTTCATGAAATAAAAACAATAAAAAACGAACTGCAATATTTGTTCTCGTTTTTGACAGTGTTTCAACTCCAAAGAAAACATTTGATGTTATTTTGCAGCCAACATTTTTCATTTACCGATAAACCACGAAAGTGGGGACGGTCCAGGGGTACAAAAACGGTCCCGTCGCAGTCGAGCAGAGTGACTGGGTTTTAATTCCTTATTCAGAGGTGGAAAGAAATGACCGTTTCCAGATTTACAAATTAAACATGTCAGTGTTGCCCACAAAAAGTGACTAAATATCTATCATAACCTTTTGAAATAGAGCTTTAAAGGGTAAAGACTCATCATAATCAATTTCATTTGTAACTTGTACACTCTGACACACTCAAATGTTCTTTTTTTTTCTTTTAAACATTTTAAAAACAAACAGCTCAAGATTTCTTCAGTATCGAAACTTGTCAAATAATTTCAGTAAAATTCTCACCCAACAGGTCATGGTATTGACCTACGTCAAGCTGACCAGGGTGACACAAATGTTTATTACCTTGTTTCATAATCATTACTGACGATCATTGTCGACGAATGAATGTTTAGGTCCCAATACTCCGATCTTACCGCGATCTCTTAGATACAGTGGAGTGTTACTATAAATGTTTACATGTTGACTATTTGGTGTATTGTGTAGTGTTTGGGATTTAACCCGATATTATTTGTACCTTGGGTCATAGAAAGTCGGTGAGTGTGGTTGTGCTTAACACATTTTCAACAAAAGCGTAATAGTATGGTACCTTGAACGCAGTAGATCATGTATTCATTATACTATAACGAATATAAATGGCCCCCTACAGAAGCCAGCTGTTACACACGAATTAAAGTATCTCGTAACATGATAAGATATAGTGAACTTATACGCTTGAGTCCATCTGTATAGTAAATATCTTGTATAATATTAGTGTGGACTTTCTTTTAATCACGCAATTGTGCTAAGCCTTTATAAAACTATTTTTCATGCAATTAATTAAAATGAAATAAACTAAATTTCTCTCAACCACTTCCGAGTAATAAAATAATTATTTAAATAAAGATAAGGAAAGTTTTTATTTTCTCTGTACTTCAAAATGTTCTTTGCGTACTTTGAGCGATTGGTTGACTACCATCTTCTATCACAAAGTTGCTTAATCCCGTATGGTCATCGAAGCAAAACTATATACGTTTTACATGAGAAAGGTATTCTCATAGAGTGTCACACGCTACTTGTGTCAGATGGTTTGTTCCAGGATTAAGGCTTACACTCAACATTACAGCACTAAAGCGTACGGAGCTGATATTTCGTAATTCACTATTTATACATTATCCAACTGAGAACTGTCTCTGATATCTATCCATGTTTTATGTTGGACGGATGTGTAGCATATTTAACATATTTAGGTCTTTACAAAGATATACCTATATATTATACAATACTGCGTAAAGAAACCACGGAGTTGAACCGTAGGATTTGTTATTCTTAGACAGCTAACTTTAAAATCCGTAGCCTCGGTGGAACATGTCAGGTCAATTTACGGTGTCTTGTGTCTGAAAATTCTGCGAAAAGACGACAGATAAAAATGCGAAATGAGGAAACAGAGGTAAGCCCGCCAAAGTTAGAAGACGAAAAAGCGAAATAACGAAGATATGTCAAAATGAGGTAAAAAAAAAAAAAAAAAACCTGCCAAAACATAAATTTAAATTGCGTTTTTTTACCCGGTTTATCGTCAGTTACTAATAGACAGTTTTGTCGCTCGCAGAGATATATGACGTCATTAATAAACGAAAATCAACACTATTGCACAATATCAACAGAGGATGACCAGACAGATATATGTGTGTTGTTGGTAAGTATTTATCGATCAGGGGTGGACCACTTTTTTCGAGATGATAGCTTTGACTTTGGAAATCTTAATGAAAACCACTGCCATGTGTTTTACGAAGTACACATGGCGTTTTTTTGGCAAAAAATTGAGTGAGACCGAATTCTACGTATACATTTGGTATCTACTGTACTGTGTTCTCTCTCTCTTAATAAATCACCTGTCACTGACTATATGGAGGTTTTTACAATTTTTGTGCGTGGTATGGCCCAGCAAAGAAAAATCTTCAATACACTTATACCTATGAATTTTCATTTTTTTAAAAATTGAAATTCAAGTCGAAAACATTAATACAATAAAGGTATATTTTTTCACAAGAGTCATGAAATGGACTTTTTTTTTCTTTGTTAATTTTCATTTTATCATATTTTTTTTATATTTCGTTCTGTCCGATAAACCTGAGAGAATTATAACGTCTAGCTAATAGTGGCATTGACAGTTAGTAGAAGTTAATCTTTAAATACATTGATCGTGTATTAAGCAGGTCTTCCGTTATCTTTCACATAATCTTCTTGTCATTCAACTAATTCTCCCATGTAAATTTTAGGTATATATTTACATAGTATTTTATACCCTGGGTCGTTTTTCATTGTCTGCACCAGTAAGCTATTTTAATGTAATTTGACTTAAACATACTTTTAATGAAATATTTTTACTTGTAATGATATGGACAGGGGCGTCATGTCATAAATTGATGATGGCGCAACAAAGAGGATGGATCCGTTTTATTCTGTCCTAAATCATTTTATTTTGAAGATAAACTCCCAAAACTCGTTCCACAAAATATCACTTGAAATGAAAAGATTTTATATTTATCAAGTAAGTACTACTACATCAACTTTGAATTTTAAGAAATGAATTAAACACAGCATAATTCAATCATTTTTACGTGATGACCTCGAAGCCTCTTCTAAAAGGTGACAACGTCAAGGACAATCAGGAGCACTTTGGAATATGTCAGTTTCATTTACCAGTATGTACGTAACTACGGCTCCGAAAGTAGATCCAATCTGAGTCACTACTCCGCACCAAAACAAAGCTTTTCTGCCTTCGCTTCTGAAGAGCGTTGCTATGGATACCTTTGAGTAGGTCATTGATAAAACCAATAAAATCCATGTGGTCACCTTTCAATGAAAATAAAAATATGTAAACAAACCAAAATCAAGAAAACGTGAAAAAAATCACTTAAAACATTTTGAATAAATTATCCAATCTGATTTTTGCTATATAAGTAAACTTTTAAAAAATCGAAAGTTATGAAATCATGTAGGAACAATTTAACGTTCAGTAAAGCAACACACTCAATTCTAAATTTAGGTGGGGGGTAGGGGATGGTAAATGAAACTTTTATTGAAGGCTATATTGTAGATCTGTGTTGTAAGTTATCAATGATCATTCCATTTTCCTTACCATGAGTCCCGGTCCTGCCGCACTGTCATACAAGACTGGGGTAGGGCTCTGTACCGCCGTGAGCATAATGAAGGCTGCCAAACAAGAACCGAGTAGAACGATACTACCGATTACAAGGGTTGACGACACCGGAAGTAGGAAAACAACCAGACAGGCGACAGGGTTTGCAATGCTGGACAGAGTAGCAGAAAGATGATATGCATTACTGCCATACGGAAGACACGAGTATGTTTGTATTGAGGGGAGAACACCGTTACCTAGAGCGTTGATCCAACCGATCATGATGAGGAGGAACACATATGTCTTCGGTTCAATTTTCCTTTGGTAAGGAACTGTTGGGTGGAAACTATCAGAAAAAATATCGAGAGTACGGGGTTTCCCTTTGTTGATCAACAGCGTTTGACTAGAACTTTCCACCGCAGATGGATTGTAAAGAGTGTCAGAAAATGTCGTGTAATTACGGGAAAAATCATTGTTTAAAGTATAGCTCTCTGTGAAGGTGTCGTCGTCTTCGACAGGCTCTTTAGCTGTAACATGTTCCCTTTTACAGTACGGTAGATAATTCAGCAGTGTGAACGCAGTCCCACTCATCACCAGCATCGCGAAAAGGAAGTAAAAGAAATGTTCCACCGGGAAAGAAGGATCTTGGTATACTGGTAGAATTTCATTGTGAGATATATTTGTAGTTGTATATATAACTGAGATGTTCTGACACGTCATTTTGCCGACCCCTTGTCCCAATGCTACTAGACTTGGTATCAATCCACTGAGACCCTCTCCAATATACAGACCGGACATATACTGAGCTTTAAACGTCGACATGAAGGGAAGAAACAGGACAGAAGACATGCAATCAACACTGGCAAGAAAAAACTGCAGGACCAGCAAAGCCAAACTGTGATTCGTCCCTGCTATATAAGAGGTATTCTTCCAGAAGAACACCAGGAGAAGGCACGAGGCTGCCCCTACAACTAATATTACATACACCAAAGTCTTCTCTGGGACAGTTGATTTGCAGCACACATACCAAATTGTCACGAGAATGGGTCCTATGTTTGCTAGTTGGGTTATCACTGTTAGATACGACGGAAGTTTCCAGCCCTCGGGTAAATGAGGAACCATAACAGGAAGCTCTACCCATAATCCATTCACGGCTAACCATGATGCAATACCAAACAGGGCAACAAGGAAGTACACGAAGATATTAACTTCGCCGAATCTGTTGCAACACTTTCCTTCTGTCATGATGAAGGGTAAAATTGAGTCTTACTTGTAGATGCTGACTCTGTCCTGAAACAAGTCACAAGGCGTACCTATACGTTAGACAAAATTAACAATAATTACAATTTTGTTTAAATATGTATATAAAAGAAAGAAAAGAATGAAAAAAAATGTAATTATTTGTTGTTTTCTGTCACAATATATAGGGCCAGATCAGAAAAAATGCCATTGGATAATTTTATTCAAATGTTTGTACGGAGGTGCTCGTTGTCATTTGAATGATTATCTGAGTTTTAAAGGGATTTTCTGCACAAGTTAGCGATTTTTCTGGCTGTTTTGTGTCTTTTTAGAACGATTTCTGGTTATTTTAAAAAACCATTTTCAACGACAAAATATTTCTCTTAACGTCAACTTGGACAGGCAAAGTTGGTTGGGAAAATAACGCGCCAGTGTAATATTAGGCTATCTATATATAGCACATTGGAGAATCCGGAACTCAATTACTGTTTGCATCATATATTTCTGCGAAGTATTGCGTAAATACATAAGTTTGTTCGTGATTACGTATAATATCTGCTGGGATCGGAATTCCGTTGCTTTCTTCGGCTTATTTCTTGTTGATTTTTAGCTATATTAAAATACACACAAATATTTCTCACCGTTCGGCTAAGTTCGGCTAATATCCGGTCGAGTCAACGCTTGTTTATCAATCTTGCTAAATCTATATAGAATTTCTTTAAACAAAATAATGTATGTTCGTCCATATGGTCAACTGGGGCGTACAATTTCTATAAGAACTTAAGTAGATCCTTTTGTAAAAAAACAATATGATATCCTAGCTTGTGCAGAATCCATCTATGACCCAGATATATGTATTCACTGGAACGCCCAGGATGTTTCGGTGAGATGTATTCCGGCTGTATGTGTCGTCTTAATTTGATATCGCATGAGCAGAGAATTATGTTAAAGTACATGAAAAGTAAAGTATTAAGACAGGGTATAATATGAGTAGAATTTGTTTAAATTTGTTAGAAGATTCAAAGTAACAATACACATTTATGTATGGGGCTTGATGATGATGGCGAAACTAACTTCCTTATTCACAGTCGTTAAAATTGGAAAAGATACATTAAATGTTTTACCGGAGATTTCTTGAATACAGGATAATTAATGATTACAATACGATAGTTAAGGTATATATACATTTATAAATAAATTAGTCAATATACAATACACTGTATTTGTTAACTAGTACAACGGGTACTAACATATCTGTTACACAATACACTGTATATGTTAATAAATATATCTGTTACACAATACACTATATGTTATGATTACACAATACACTGTATATGTTAATTAGTACAACGGGTAGTATATATACATAATTAGTACAACGGGTACTAATATATCTGTTACACAATACACTTTATATCTTAGTTATACAATACACTGTATATGTTAATTAGTACAACGGGTACTAACATATCTGTTACACAATACACTGTATATCTCAGTTAGTACAACAGGTACTAACATATCTGTTACACAATACACTGTATATGTTAATTAGTACAACGGGTACTAACATATCTGTTACACAATACACTGTATATGTTAATTAGTACAACGGGTACTAACATATCTGTTACACAATACACTGTATATGTTAATTAGTACAACGGGTACTAACATATCTGTTACACAATACACTGTATATGTTAATTAGTACAACGGGTACTAACATATCTGTTACACAATACACTGTATATCTTAGTTAGTACAACGGGTACTAACATATCTGTTACACAATACACTGTATATGTTAGTTAGTACAACGGGTACTAATATATCTGTTACACAATACACTTTATATCTTAGTTAGTACAACGGGTACTAACATATCTGTTACACAATACACTGTATATGTTAGTTAGTACAACAGTTTTTTGCAGAATACACTGTATATATTAGTTATTATCACTAAATACATTGCTTTATGGATAACTGGCATACAGTTAACTGATGATATAAATTCTTGTAGTGAAAGATACTGTGTAAATACAGTCATACAATACGTTTTGAAATGGTATGTCTGTCTGATGTCCTGATGTAACGTTACGATTTTAATTTTAAAGTTGTACAGAAGAAAAAATCTAGTTATGTTATAATTTTAAGTATGAAATATTTACCTTGTTTCAGTTGATGTCTGTGTCCATCCGAATGCTTGGCTTTGTATGTATTACTGTTATAATAGCACGTGAGAGCGACAAACGTACCGGAAGTTGGCTATTAAAGCTAGACTTAGGACTAGTCTGGGTTAATGCATTGTTTGTTTACATATTATTTACTTTGTTTATCACACGTGCGATAGTGTCATATAACTGATAATGTCTGTTTGGTCACCGTGTCGGATTTGAAAACATAAATTTACGACAAACGATCGCGATGCAGCATGTGACACCAGTTTGTAATCACGATTGAATTCATTGCGATATTATATTCAGTTACGGCATGCCGGGCGTACATTTATCATTTAAATTTCAAGCTGAATTATTGTTAATGTCAGTGGCCTCGACTAAACCCGACACGTTATAAAATTGATTATGAATGACGTCACTGACAATAACGTGCCCATCAAAGGTCAAAGGTCAATGTATTGAAAAGAGGAAATACATGAGTAAACATGATCGTTATATGCAGTGCAATGAGTTAAACTGCATCACATGTCACTGTTCTATTTCTGTTGTCGCTGCCAGATGGTCCCGATTATCTCCCCTCCCCTCTAAAACCTCTATAGCATTACTTTGCATGAAAGAAATATTTGCTCATCAATGGGATTCTGATATGTATTGTTATCCTTAACGCAGACAAGATTAACTTCCGGCATTATTACGTTTTGGCAGGCCGTATTTTAACATTTTCCATGACCTGCGTGCCACTTTCAAAAAATAGAACAGTGACTCGGTTCAGAATTTACACATGTACTTGACTTCAGAAATTATCTGATATAAGAAAATAAGGACATTCCTTGAATTATGGGTCTATAGTGTTCGTCCTCTCCTAAACTTCAAAAATTAGGCCCATGGGATCACTGACGAGTCTTGGAAAGGACAAAACATTTGTATGATGCAGTTAAATATATTATTTGGCACTCTTTTATCTTTTTGTCTTAAAAGGTGCTATTCATTTGTGTGTTTTTGTATAATGTTCTTGTACATTTCATGCTGAAATACAAAACGATTTTAAATCACAAAAATCTCCATGAAGCCTTCTGTGTAAGTAATCTTCAGGTTGCTTCTTTCATTGAAATCCTTTGTACATCCAGATTACCAAATTTCTTTAAGACTAAACTAGAATGTATAACCTATTACGTATATTCCTTGGTCCTTTTGTAACCAAAATTAGTCCATGTTTAATACAATGATGATAACTTTACTGCCATGGCGTCTATAACTTACTATCTGTGAATGTGACTGTCACATTGGTCAAAGTCACTGAACTTGTATGACTTAGTAAAGTTAATATGTGGTTATATCCTATTATTTAAAGCCGGGCCTAAATGGTGTCAGATTAAAGGTTATTTTATGGAGCGTCTCCGTTAAATGTCCGGCGAGGCTTGCTGGCCTGTAACGGTGTTTCTTGTATGGTATACTTAACCAGTGAAGGGAGAAATACGCCACCCGAAAACTCCGCAAACTGTGAATGCGAAACAAGACCGCGGATTTCCCCCATGTAGCTATGTCTGTCCGCTAAAAATCCAGATCAAATAAGGCTGGTAGTCAGTGAAAACGCAGTTGACATATGTTTCATTTACTTCCTGGTTGGTTTAATTCGGTTAGGCAGAAAGCAGAAGTTTTTCAAACCCAAAAGGACAAAAAATTATGACTTTATCATTATAGAGGTAACATCAGTATTCACCAATGAATTTGTATCCTTTTAGTTAACCGTTCTTTTTATTTATCTTTTTATTTTAATTTTTTTTAGATTCATCTCAAAAGTAAACCATTGGAGATAATATATTACAAAACTATACACGGTTAAAGTACTTTCTTCCTCGTATACAGTGTATCTTGTACAAGTATGACAGATTTTTTCTCAAACTTTTGTTACACAAATTGTGACCATGCATTACATTACACCACCGACTGATTTTCCACATATGTCTGTTCATAACAACCTTCCGACCAATGACAGCGGGTTTTGATCGTTTTTTTTTTTTTTGTCAGAATGTCGTATATAAAACCAACCGTCCCTGAAGTAATGCATTTTGTAACTGATCCATCCAGTTTTAAATATCTTATTAAGGAATTTGATTCAAAACCAATTACCTAGAATAGATATGCATAGCATGAAGAAAACTTTCCGCAGTTCTTGGAAACTGTCGTAAACAGATACTCAGTATCAGTTTAAAAATAATACTTGCAAATTGGAAGTCGGATTACGTCTTTTCGGGTTTAGTGACTAGATGCCAAACTCATAACAATTCGTTACGAGTTCTTTTCTGGCAAAATCTAGACAAGACTTTTACGGTGTATACATAATACTTGGAATTAAAAAATTGTTGATACCAAAGATCTAATTTAAAATTGAAATAAAATTATAATTAAAATTCAGCCAAAAAATTAAAAAAAAAAATACTTCTGTTTCCTTATCATTTATCATGCAGTATTGTACAGCGTGCAAATGGTTGGTTAGAAAGACGCTACAGTTAGATTTCCTTATTATTCAACACGAAATTACAATTTTTAATTATAACTTTGGTTTAAACTTTATTTTACTGAGGTAATAGCAGTTGTACATATAAATGATACTAATTATAGGATACAGAAACAAGTACATAGAACTTATATTTATCCGTCTCCTAATGTAGATATAAGCTATGGACCCATATTGACTATATTGAAGATATATATACAATCTGCAGGGAAAAGAAAGAGAAAGCGTGCAGGGGTTGGGATGGTGATTACTAAATGGCATCGCATTGGGCATCAAACTGTAAAAAGGAACAAGGAACAAACGCAGGTTGTGTACAATCCGAGTTCAAGATACATACTATATTTGATATAAGTATTGGAACTGTACATTTGTTCATATAAATATTTACTGTATATAGTGAAAAAAGGAAAACAAGAAGAAAGAAAAATAATTAGTCACTGATACAAGAAAGCAATAAATGCAAGTTTCTTCAGAAACGTTTTGTCTGTATGATAAAGTTTTGAACACAATCAATGATAAGTTCATTGGACTGAACAGATAATTCTGGACTACCATGGAGTAAAAGGTTTGCACTATAATTTAGAGGAAGGCGACTAAAACATTGAACTCTAAGCTGCTGGTAATTAGCACATTGGAGGAGGAAATGTTCAGTGGTTTCGGTAGACAGATTACATGAACACATTGGACTATCAGCTAAGTTTCGAGTAAATAAGTGAGCATTCAATGAGCTACAGTTCATTCTCAGTCGAGCGTGATGTATTTGGTCATGTCTGCTTCTGCAGTAGTAATAGTGTTTTGGGACAGCGCGAGTAGAGAGAGTGTCGGAGTTTAGAAATTTTTTGAGGTTAGTAATTGACGGATTGGATTTTATGCTTTCAGGAAGTGAGTTCCATATGTCAACAGAAGAGGGTAGGAAAGAATCTTTGTAGAGGTTTGTTCGACAGTTTATTTGACAGAAATTGTAAGCTGTTCTTGTGTTATGAGTATGCATATCAGAATGGCGAGCAGCTAAAACGTTATTTAGGTAAGGAGGGCACTGACCATGTGAAACTGAATAATTTTATGTTTTTTTCCTACGAGCAGTAAGGGGTTCCCAACCAGTTTCTGTATATAGTCTAGCGAGGCTTGTGAGTTTGCTAGCCCCAGTCGTGATTCTAGCTTCTTCAAGCTGTATATTTTCAAGCATCTGGCTTTGGCCTAAAGTTATGTTGTCCATACTATATCACCATATTCTAATAAGGGTCTTATGAAAGTATAATAAATAGTTTGAAGAGACTTCCTGTCGATACTAAATTTGAGGTTTCTAAGTAGACTAAGTTTTTTTAGAAGCTTTACTAATAATATAACTTTAAAGGAGATCTGCCTTACATATGTCCGCATAAGGTCTACATCGCTATGTACTGAGTTTAGATAAACGCATAATATGAATCTGTCCAGGCCACGTTTTAAATATTTCATTTTCAAGAAATACAGCTAATTATGTGTCGGTAGAAGACTGTAGTTTACTTACGTGATAGATAAGTTAATATATTCCGACCAAGATAGAGAAGGTCAGAAATAATAATTCACAGAAATGCTCTCTAATCTGTATTCCTCAAAAACAAGTGTCTTTGCATACGTAACAATACAAACAGCGAATTTGTTGTGTTATTAAATTCAATAAAACTGAAGTATGATTTTGATGATTTTATTACAACAAAAAACTGAAAAAAATAATGTTAAACGACTATTGAATATTTATAGTAGATATTGCACAGAAACAGAGATATGACCTTCAACTAAATTTAACCTTTCCAAGAAAGGGGCGTCTATATATATCACTAGATCTTAGATACGTATTTGTCCTATTGTTAGCGCCACGTTTGTGGAAATATACATATTGTCCATTTATGTTTTATCTATTGATCTATTCAGATTTACTCCAGCCAATCAGCTAGCTATAATAAAATGAATATAGAGACTTTTTGGAATTAACGCTCTTCTGCTTTATGTTTCTGTTCTGGAAAACCTGAAATATATCATAGTCAATCTCGTCATTCACTAAATACAGATCTTGCCGTGTACCTACATTTAGTCGACGCCTGCGACACTTTGGCTCATCAGCAGACCGTAAACATAGGATATTGGAGAAATCAACACCGACCTGCATGAGTTGCGGGATAGCTGGTTTCATGCAGCATACAGCAGGGACATTATACTCCCCGTCTCTTGCATGGTCGAGTGAACAGTAAATATGATGATAATAGGTTATATATCAATGAGAGAGGTATCCTTGTGGCATTAGTTTCGGACCCCTTAAAAAATATTTCACAGCGCTACACCGAAGAATTGCAACCAAATAAATAAAAGAGAATGCATTACATATATATAAGTTTTATAAAAAAAAAAAAAAAAAGATCAGTGATATACCAGCATTTTTCTGAAAAAAAAATCCAAAGATAGGACATCAAATTTGCTCACCTAGTATGACTGTTATATATAGGAAATGTTACTGAAATTCCTTTTTTAATGACATCATAGAACGGTATAGACGTTAGTCTACAGTGACAAAAATATTACATCAAACAGTGACACAGATATTACAACAAATAGTGACACAGATATTACATCAAATAGTGACACAGATATTATATAAAATAGTGACAGATATTACATCAAATAGTGACACATATATAACATCAAACAGTGACACAGATATTACATCAACTAGTGACACAGATATTACATCAAATAGTGACACAGATATTACATCAAATAGTGACACATATATTACATCAAACAGTGACACAGATATTACATCAACTAGTGACACATATATAACATCAAACAGTGACACATATATTACATCAAACAGTGACACAGATATTACATCAAATAGTGACACAGATATTACATCAAATAGTGACACAGATATTACATCAAATAGTGACACAGATACTACATCAAACAGTGACACAGATATTATATCAAATAGTGACACATATATAACATCAAACAGTGACACAGATATTACATCAACTAGTGACACAGATATTACATCAAATAGTGACACAGATATTACATCAAATAGTGACACAGATATTACATCAAATAGTGACACAGATATTACATCCAATAGTGACACAGATATTATATCAAATAGTGACACAGATATTACATCCAATAGTGACACAGATATTATATCAAATAGTGACACAGATATTACATCAAATAGTGACATAGATATTACATCAAATAGTGACACAGATATTACATCAAATAGTGACACAGATATTACATCAAATAGTCACACAGATATTATATCAAATAGTGACACATATATGACATCAAATAGTGACACATATATTACATCAAACAGTGACGCAGATATTACATCAAATAGTGACACAGATATTACATCAAATAGTGACACAGATATTACATCCAATAGTGACACAGATATTATATCAAATAGTGACACAGATATTACATCAAATAGTGACACAGATATTACATCAAATAGTGACACAGATATTACATCCAATAGTGTCACAGATATTATATCAAATAGTGACACAGATATTACATCCAATAGTGACACAGATATTATATCAAATAGTCACACATATATTACATCCAATAGTGACTCAGATATTATATCAAATAGTCACACAGATATTATATCAAATAGTGACACAGATATTACATCCAATAGTGACACAGATATTATATCAAATAGTGACACAGATATTATATCAAATAGTGACACAGATATTACATCAAATAGTGACACATATATCGGTATACAACGCAATAGTTGAATTAAAATTAGAAACGAGTCATTAGAAGTGACACTTTTAAAATCATCATTATTCCAATTCAAGATGTGCGTTCGTGGCCAATTTTTATTTTTATTTTTATTCATTTCACAAATGACAACAAAACACTAGCATCCGAGGATGCATTGATTGGTTTAGTACATATTTGGCAAATAATGACATTATAGGGATGAGTCAGCAAGTTTTTTCAACTTATAAACGACTTCTCCCAGAATAATATAACATCGATTTATTTAACAAAAGTCATTTGATGACTATTAATTGGGTGAATAATTGACATATGAAAATACACCAAATTTGTCAATGAAACGTATACCTATATTTTATAATAAATTTATTTAATCACATTATTTTTTTTCCTTTCAGTAATTATGACATGTTATATTAACCGAAATCAAATGGAATATCCTTTATCCGTTTTATAGGAAGGTCTCATGTGATGACTAACATAGTTCTCCTTATCGCTGTTACAGAATCTGAAATAAAAAAATGTGGAAGTATTTGCTAGAAAGTATTCTAAATCTGCGGTCTTGAATGCGGTAGACAATTCTCAAATGATTTGTATTGATTATTTAAAAATAGGTCATCAAGGTTAAAAAAAATATTGAACAAAAAGTGACAAGTGTTAACATGCCTTGTACTTATATTGCTCGCTGTCTGACTATTATATTTAGATACCCTGACAGGCACACGTTGTAAACAGGCGATGTACACACGTGTGAGAAGAAACGAAAGTGCTTCAATGATAAGAGTTTCGTGGTTGTTGTGTTACTTTGACGTGTATTTCTATAAAGACATCTCAACATAGAGGAATTTCCAACTATTTTCACACATTATGAAATGCTATATTTACACATTACCAGGCTGGAAAGAACATTTATAAAATAACGAAAATGGATTATTTGAGATAACATTATCATGATAATACACCTTTGAAATGATGATGAATATTGGAATTTTGCAAGTGCTGATTATGGATGTGTATAAAAATAATCACAATAGTTATAATATTCCAGCAGAAACTTCAGTAAGCCTAACACATTTTGATATTTTCAAATGCTTTTTCACTGTTATATTCAAATATAAAAAGATCGCTTGATTGATCTCAAATGGATACTGTGAGACGTGAAAGCCAAATTATTTCAATAACAAAAGCATTATTCCTATTATCAACTATTGTTATTTCACCGATGACCTCATTTTAGTGAATCCTTACGCATACCCTAGAGATATACCAGAGTACTTTTCTGTTGAGTAATAATTTTTTTGGTCATTTCATTCCAATTCTTAAATACTCAGTAAAATTGGTCCTTAACTGATATATCAGTGACCAGTGCCTCAATATAACATTACGAAAGATATTCTCGCTATCACGGAAGCAGGATTTCAAGAAATATCCGGCTATGCAAGGTGAAAAAAAGTATCAAGTGAACTTTTCAAGTCATAGGATACATATTAATAAATAGTTATTAATTTCATTTCCTTATGCAAAAACTCAATTAATTTTGACTTCCGTATACAATCTTCCGCGAGTTGTTTCAGTTTCATGTGAGAATCATTTCTATAATTTGTGTTATAAACGACCTACAATTTCAAGTAAAAAAAGAAAACAAATTTGTGCTGCAAATGCGAAAGATTGTCTGTCCATACCATGTTTTTCTGATATTACACACATGTGTCATAACATTCCATTCAAATTAATCACTTTGATAGATATGATGTCATCTGATTCATACGTAAACATAAGAACTGTAAATATATAGCGCAGTCATATGATACCAGGAGTCAGAGTTGGCACCTTAAACTACACCTGTGATAACAATGTCCTCTATCCGCATTGTGCTTTATACACGCAAATACAAACATATCGTATGACATTGAATTAGACCTGCTGGAAGACTTAGCAAAGACGAGTTTCCAATGTGACAACACGGGAATGACGATGTATAATGCATCATTGTTTGTATACATGAAAATGACTAAAAAAGGTTTTTGAATTGTTCACTTTTCTAAAGCCGTCCTGCTTTCTTCATTTCATCTGTTAAAAAAATTCACGAGAAATTATGTATTTTCTATGCTCTCAGGAGCTGCTATGAAATATGAATGGAATGCAGTGATGTTGTCTGGCCAACATTTTTCCTAGTTACAATGCATTGGCGACATGAACCTTTGATTTTTTTTAATTCCAAAGCCCTGCTTTCGGTTTTCTTTTAAAAATCGAACGACCTCTTGCAGTTTATCAAAACATTTAAATATTCATATTTTTGTCAAACACAACCGACATTACAATTATTTCCATGAAATTGTCTTAAACCACTGTAACGTGAGACAAATTTGATCACGCTTGTTGTAAGGACTGCTATGCAAGGAACGATATTTCTGTTTCTGAATGTTAATCAATCTTTAAAAAACATGAATATTGCATCATGCAAACCAACCTGCATGAATCACAGATATAAAGGAATACGATGGATCATTCAATGGAATGAGAAATATGTTTGTACAGTATGAAGCTTGTGTCTTTAGCAAAGCATAATGGTTTTTATGGCGAAGTTTTAAATTATTATTATTATTTATGATATTACTCGTGGTATCTGATTCTTATTGGTATTCAAAGAAAATGTTATTCACTTGTGTGTTTTGTGTACAACCTTCTTGAATTCAGCGCAAAAATATCTCTTTCTAACCCGTATGTGTACTTAAGGATTTGATTTTTAAATATTAAGGCTATTTGATTTCTAGGACCAACTAGTAGTTAAAACCAATTTTAACAAACGTCAGGTGATGTTCTGATTAATTTCACTACTTACTGCTACCAAAGTAACCTGGTGTGTATTTCACCACGTACATCTATCAAATGACAAATTAATTATTTTGAATGTTTATTGGTCGACCTCATATAAAAAATAAATATATCTATTGTTATGAAGTTATGTAATTAACATGATGGCTGTTATAACCTGCACAGTTGTGTCTAGTTAAGAGTAATGGTAATACTAGCCTTAAAGACCATACTTGTTTATTATCCCAAGATAGTCATTAAAGGCAAGACTGGACTTGATCTACATTTGTGATTTGTGTTGTAGGATACATAAATAGGTGAGATAAGATAATACATTCCTGGAAATTAAATAATTTCTCTATTTATAGTTTAATGTGTATGCGGACTCATACATGTGCAAGTATAATATTGGACTAATACCCTGTTTTATAAGGTGACTGATACCTGATCTAGAAACATTCCCAAACACTACAGTCGCTTAATTCCATAGTGTATAAGAATAATTCCTTTGTTATTTATCTCTTGTATAACAATGTTTCCTTTAATGGTAAACAAGACAACATTTCCCGTTATAAAAGTTCTATTGCTATCGTGCTATCTTGATATCCCTGAACAAAACAAAGCTATTATATGCATTTTATTTGCTTGTCTTTATTTATCTTTTTAACTGTTATGATATTGTAACTTACTAATAATATGAAAAAAATAACTAAATACGGTTTATTTCGTAGATTAAAAAACCATGATGAAAACATCTTTGACAAGTCAGAAAAAGAGAGGAAAACGAAGAAACAAATCATCTCCGACAAAGTTTCAATATCAGCTTATTTCAAACAGATATTACTGTGTAATAAACCTCGCTTTCATTCAGTACAGTACTGCTAATGGAAATATCAATAAATTATATGTATTAACGTCAATCATATTTATTACATGAAGTGGTAAGTTCTATCTTAGTGAATGTTTACATCTATTCTATATGGATGCTTTGGCGACCTTTTACAATTATGACATCACAATGAGATGATGACGTTATATTATAATGTCAAAATCGAACGTTTGTCAAATAAAATGCTTTCATGATATTGAGGATCCTGCCGTCGGTTACCGTGACCCCGAGGTATGGTGTATACTCTGTTCTTTCCAGATATGGCAAACACAAATTCGAATGCAAAACAGAAATAGAAGAAAGATTTACTTGGAGACTCCTTAAAAAAGTACAAAGAGAATAAGATCAGGTATTCTGAAAGAGTGCGCGTCTTTTGTGTCATCAACGGCAAAGCAATCTTAATCTAGGTCTACCCATGTAAGTGATTTCACTTTCCCTAATGAGAACAAGGTATACAACAATGGAATTATCAGGAATACTTTTTGCGTATCAAACACTTTCAGCTTCATTGTAGGAAGGTCGGTGGGAGAATGGTTATTCTACACTCTGGTGTCGGATTATGGTACAGAACCTCGGCATTGTCTCAATTTTATACTATCGGTTAATATAGCACATGCCTTCATACAAATGTATGCGTCACTCTTAATAGACCATGTCCTATACATGTTATAATAAGGAGTTTTCGTATACACGTGTAAGTAAAATAAGGTCGGTGGTTAATCATTAGCTTTTTATATTTGTTATGTAATGTTGACGTGTGATTTGATAAAGGGTTCTAAACATAGAGGGTTTTTCCTACTTGTCTCATATCAGATTGAAATGCAATATATATAGTACGATAATGGAAAAGTAGTAAAAAAAGAAGGTCACAGAATATATTTCCATCAGCAAAAATAATCGCTTGTAACTTTCCCCATTTACTATATGTAATCTAGCTTGGTCCTCGAATATGAAGGCACTTTCTAAGATTAAGAGAATATCCATTCTATGGACATGGATTACAACATACGTTTGGCTGGTCAGCTCGAGACTTTCCGAGGGTCGAACAGTCCCTGTCCACGGCAAAGAAATATGTTTATTTTTCGTACATATTTAAAACATACTACAAATTGTAAATAATCGTGAAACCCATTCTTATCTCCAACATCAATGTTGAATGAAAAGTTCATCGAAAATAATGACGTTATCAATTATGTGACTTGGTTCCATAATTTAATGATTACAACACATATCCGATTGAGAATAATGTCATAGTCCGTTCGACTGTCTCTCTCTATCAAGTTATCCAGTCCCTAACACCCATGGGATCGCTTGTGGAAAAATAGGAGGACATCGTATGAAAAGTAAACATTCGATTTATAAAATCAATAAAAACATCTTTTTAACAGTCGTATTCAAATGCCGTTCAACCTTTGCATTTTGAGTATTAAAAGTTGCTTATATCAAAACTGGAAATGTTTGAGTATATATAAATCCTTATCATTTAATAACAATCTTCATTTTGCTTATGATCACTTATTCAAAATGAAGATTATACCTCGCCAGGTAATAGGAAACGTTAATGTTACTTGAAGTTCCAATTTCATACGGATGAGTTTTTAGACAAGACCATACCTAGTGTACAAATGATTCAGTGCAAACAAGTGGACAGGAGATTGTATGAAATAAAGATAACAACTGAAGCATCATGTTGTATAGTAAAGTGAATGATGTTTTTGATTGTTAATAAAACCACGACCTACACTTAGTTTAAACTGTATTTTATTTTGTGAAATGAGTACAGTACAAAAGCAAATATGCATTTTGGATTCAGAAACAAGTACAATGTACTTATATTAATCTGTCTCCGTGTCTAATTACATGAGCAATGGACAGCACTGACAACATAATGTAATTAAGTAGGTGCATAAGTACAGGGAAGGGGAAAAGAAAGGGTGCATGGGTTCAAAGGAGGAAACCGTTGTAGGATGACGAAGCAAGAGTTTAGGACTGCTATAGATCTATATTTGATTGTGGTTCACTCAACAAAGTACAATATACCACGACCAGGCCAGTACTGTAATTGCGATTACTTCGTAGTATACACAAACTCACTAGTTACGCTAGAGCTTAATTAAAACGTTTAGAACGGTTAATAAAGTTTTGGACACAGTCAAAAATATTTTCATTGTACTGATCTGGCATATCAGGGTACCATATAATAAGGTATTAACATTAATGTCGGGGGGTATGTTACTGAAGCATTGCATTCTGATATGATGGTAGTTAGGGCACTGGAGGAGGAAGTGTTCTAGTTTCGTCGGACTGGTTACATGAACATAGAGAGTTGTTTACAAGATTACGAGAATATAAGTGTGCGTTTAGTGAGCTACAGTGCATCCTAAGTCGAGCATGGTGAATCTGGCCGTGTCTAGATTTACAGAAGTAATAATAGTTAGGAACAGTTGTTATATCAGCATTTAGGTATCTTACACTTATTAATATCTCCCCATATACAAAATCTTTACAGTGAATTATGTTGAGACCGACTGAATATGCGGCAACTCTAATCTGAAGATTTAGAATTACGAGGCATGTTCTAACTCTCACATCAATACTTAGCATGATGTCAAATCAATATTAAAGTTATCAAAGCTTCAATATGTAACATAAAGCGACAAAGTCTAATTCTCACATCAATATGTAACATAAAGTGGCATTTTCTAATTCTCGCTTCAATATGTAACATAAAGTGGCATTTTCTAATTCTCGCTTCAATATGTAACATAAAGTGGCATTTTCTAATTCTCGCTTCAATATGTAACATAAAGTGGCATTTTCTAATTCTCACATTAATATGTAACATGAAGTGGTAAAGTTAAACCCTCCTGTCAATATTTAATGTTTTGATATGTGCTTTGCTTTTAAATCAATATTTCATATAAATTAATATAAGAAGATATAGGCATATCTGAAATAATCTCAGACTTGACATCAAATACGTTTTATTCTCTAAAATGGTCCTGGTATGTTTGCAGAGATTGTACAAAAGACAGACGAGTGAATAGCAATTTCCAGTACACATGAATAGAATTGAGAAAGATATCTGAACAGCAGAGAACACTAAGAATATATAAAGAACAAAAGTGTTGGATAAACTAGAGTGCTATGTTTATTTCCATGAGTACTCCGTGTGTACATGCTGCGATCATACACAGACAAAAGCTCATAGCATGACTTTGTGTTGTCACTATAAATATCTCTAAAAAGTTTCACGGTTATTTTTTATAGGGAAATTACGATGTTTATTAATAGAACAATGTAATCGGCGCATGTCAACTACACATTTTGTTTACATTTAAAGCCAAAACTCTCAGTTTAAAGCTTATAGTTGTTCTGTCGGCTTGTCTGTTATTCCACCACTGCAAATGTAAGTATTTTACTCTGTCAAATATGCTTAATTTCGACTTAGTTTATTTAGGTCTTTTCAGATGCATAATATATTCTTAAATATATATTTAGATATATTATTTAAAGACCTTCACGTCTATCTAGACTATTGATATGCCTTTAGCATTACGTTTGACAGTAAGGTTGATATTATATAAACGAGAATTGAAAATAAAACTGTATTTTGTAACTAATGAAGCGAACATAATTATTTTTTCAGACTTCGATTGTAAAATGGGAAACCAAATAGGAGAGTTGTTTCAAAACGAAACATTGAATTCTGAATACGGGCCGTGTGCCATCTTTAACTGCCGACCGTCTTCTTATGGTCAACGACTCGTAGTCTTCAAGGGTATCGTAACAGAGTACATGACAGGAAAACAAGTTATTAAAGTGTTTAGAGAGAAAACTAGATATGAGCCGGAAACGCCTATTCAACGCAGTAGGTGTTACATAGAAAACAAAGAAATCGCACAGATGTACTTAAAGAAGAACGGAAGTAACAAAATATCTTTTCTCGACCTTCGCAAAGCGGAAATGGACAAGGTATCAATGTTTACAAGTCAAATCCGTACCAGTGACAAATGCCATAAACGCCGTCTTTGTGAAGATGACGTTGTAGTTTTTGAGCAGGATCTCGGTAAAAACTTTAAAACGTTCATAGAACGTGATGGAACCGTGAGCAGTAACTGTTGCGGAAAACTTCAGGAGTTTGTTCATTTCGTTTACAACGAGTCAAAAGGGCAAGAAATTGTGACAGGTTTAAAAGGAGTAAGAGTAGGTCAGAACTTCAAACTTACGTCACCATCCATGAATTCTGTAAGTAAAAAATACGGACCAGATGACTTTGGAGAAAAGGCTATGTTGAACTTTTTTACCTCTCATGTATGTACCGACGTCTGCACACAATGGCCAAAACCAACAGTTCTGCATCCATTCCATTGTTTAGAGACAGTCACAAAAACTCAACATACACTGACGCCTACCAGAGAGAGTGACATGCCACCTCCTGAGTATGATTCAAGATGGCGGCTTGATTTCGAGAAATTCAAATCACGTTCCTTGCAAGTAGAACCATCCGCGCCACCAGCTTATGAATTAGTTACTTGAAAAATAATCCCTGTCGCTTCCATTTACCTGAAGGAAACAGCACCATGGCAGGTGCTCTATAGATATCGTTTCAACGATTGTGCCGACGAGATGCGAGACGCAGGATGCCTTTCCCGGATAGCTTCATGTACACACTATATTACTGATAACCAAATGCAATAGATAATCGCTATGGACTGACGATAACATTGTTAACTTTATGAACGTGATAACATTTCTTCATATTTTAAAATACATGCAAATACCTGCTGTCACCAGAAGATCAATATCAAAGTCTACATTACGATTTATGTGTGTTTGATAGCGTCAGTAACATCGTAACATATATAAAGCATGGTTAAGAGACCATATGGCTTAGAGGTATTTACCACTGCCTTAACCAGAGTGTGGAACTAAATAAAAACTTATAAAAAAAACATCTACTTGTTATGTCATGTTTTTATCTGAGTCAGACAAACGATTCGTAAATTACACGTAAATCATTATCTCACAAACAACGGAGACTGTGAATGTATAGGATGAGATCACAGTCAAGACTTGATACTAATTATATGTTATCCATTCTGTTAATATTTAGAATACAGTTTGAAGTCATAAGAAGTTCAGGAGAATCTAAACCTTATCGAGCTAGCAAGGAAATGCTTCAGGGAGAATGAAAGTTGAATCGATATGAATGGTATATTTAGGAACAATGTTATAGTATAATTCAATTATCTTTTGATATCGTACATGGAGTTATTATATATTTTAAAGATCTGCGAGTTTCCATATATTTATCCCGGCTTTCTCTATAATTAGGATTAGAACTGATTCTAATCCAAGTTATTTTTAAACAATCTAAGGCAATTTGATTGTGTAGTTACTACTCATTAGTGGAGCAGCTAATTCTCATACATGTGACAGGAAATTCTCTAACGCTCAGTTAAGGGTTTTCCTATCCATTCCCGTTTCTAGTAACCTTAAAATCCAAATAATTACATAATTTTTTCACGATCACGTACAAGACAAAATACAAATTACCTGTGTGTCTCCAGCCTGATTATGCCAGTGTCTGGTTATTTTTCTGTTGTAATGCTAAATAAATTTTAAAATGTCCTCCTTAATGTGTAACGATATGTTTGAAATTATGTTTTGTTGGTTAAATCATCTTTAAAAATTCGTTGAAAAACAATTGTGGACTGAAATATTGGTTAATAATCATTATAGAGTATTATTTTTCCTGTGATTCTTGGAAGAAGAATGCATTAGACGGGCAAAGAAACGACATCTGTTACCGTTCTACATCTTGACGACACTCTTCTACATCGTATACTTCCCGTTTAAGACATTCCCACCGGACTCCTTTGCGCCTTCAGTACTACTCAAAGTGTTTCCAATATGGAGCCTTGTTTATTTCGTTCGAAAAACTTCCAAATACCAACACCATAATGCGTTTGCGAAGGACGACTTTTCAGAATTTGTTACAATGGGATTGATGGTGTCGAGTATCGAAGACATTTTACTTATAATGAGTGACCAATTTTTCATTCCAGGCATGCTTGCGTTTATGATTGCCCACATTTGTTACTTACATGCCTTCGGGACCAACGATGTGCCAGGAGTAAAGACGAAAGCGACATACGCCATGGTCGGTATTATCCTCTTCCTCTTTATCTCAGATATCATAGACAATTTCGTGACCAAATTGATGGTTCTGGTTTATCTGTCCGTGATCTGCTTCACGGGATGGACAGCGCATGCGTGCTACGAAGAGGATATGACGTTTGCTTCCTTGTTCGGTTGTATCGGTAACATCTTCTTCATGTTCTTTGACGCCATGCTTGCAATATCAAAATGGAAGCTCAACTTTCCTTGTCACGAATTTATTGTAATGACCTCCTACTACGTGGCCCAGTTCTGTCTCGCCTTCAGCGCACAAACAGACACTCAATAGGTTTGAAATAAACATTGAAATCCCATCAGATGGGCAAAGAAAGGACATTTGTATCCATCTTGGGCGCACTCTCCTACATCACTTATTTCCCATGGACTTAACATCAGGTTTAAAGAAACAAACCGACACGGGTAGGAAGCGTGGAACGACTCTCCTCGGTTTGATCTACCAAGCTATAACTGCCCCCTCCACCAATGATAACACGTTACAACCCTACCTTGTCCTATCGCTGCACTGTCCTGCCATGCTGTAACATTCACAACTTATCTACCGTCTGAACCAGAATTGCTGCTGGTTCCAAAGTCTTTACAGAAGGCTGAAATGTTAAACAGTGTGGTGAAAAGTTACAGAAGGTTGGAATGTTAAACAGTGTGGTGAAAAGTTACAGAAGGTTGAAATGTTAAACAGTGTGGTGAAAAGTTACAGAAGGTTGAAATGTTAAACAGTGTGGTGAAAAGTTACAGGAGGTTGAAATGTTAAACAGTGTGGTGAAAAGTTATAGAATGTTGGAATGTTAAACAGTGTGGTGAAAAATTACAGAAGGTTGGAATGTTAAACAGTGTGGTGAAAAGTTACAGGAGGTTGGAATGTTAAACAGTGTGGTGAAAAGTTACAGAAGGTTGAAATGTTAAACAGTGTGGTGAAAAGTTATAGAATGTTGGAATGTTAAACAGTGTGGTGAAAAATTACAGAAGGTTGGAATGTTAAACAGTGTGGTGAAAAGTTATAGAATGTTGGAATGTTAAACAGTGTGGTGAAAAATTACAGAAGGTTGGAATGTTAAACAGTGTGGTGAAAAGTTATAGAAGGTTGGAATGTTAAACAGTGTGGTGAAAAGTTATAGAAGGTTGGAATGTTAAACAGTGTGGTGAAAAGTTATAATCAAGCTGATATTTCTGAACTTCGTGATTAATAAAGTATTTTGGAAGAAATAAAACGTTGATTTCGTTGCCCTATAAAATGATAGTTTTGTGTTTCTCTTCTGCTATGTCATGATCTGTTTAGGGTAAGTTGTTTTTTTATAATCACACGTCTATTTATTGTAAATGACCGTATACAGTCATATCACAAAGAGAAAAAAAGCTAAGGTGTGTTTGACAGTGTTCTTTTGTATGTGACGTTGATGGTGTGATGTTCTACATTATATACATGTATTCTACCTCAGGAAATTGTATCTCTTGTCCTAGCTGCAAGAGTTGACTAAATTTAGAGTCTGGTCGTTTCACTTCTTTCTTAAATAGTTCTTATATTTACAGGATATTATTTTTTTGTAGCGTTTACTGCAGATTCGATAATGATTTCCGGTTTTAACACCGAAAACAAATAAATATTTCTCTTTATATTAAAATGAATTGATAAATCGTTTTCTTGAACATGAAAGGTGACCGACATGCTATTTTGGACGTAGGAATGATTGTCATGTAAACCTAATGACTGTTCATTAGTATACCAGTGATAACATCATGGAAATTATTCAAGGATAATATCTGTATTTAAGCAGTATAATTAAATGCGGTCGCATTATCAAGTTGGTATCAGTCTGCACCATCACAAGAAGGTTTTAACAATTTTATCCCCCTTTCCTCCCACCCCTATCAAAAACCAGGGAGGGCAACCTTAAAAAAGTAAAATCAGACCATATCTTCATTTATACAGTCAGTCTCTAATCTCATTTCAACGTATACAGCCGATTTTTCAAGGTATATTTCATAGAACTGGAAGCAAACAGCCAAAATTCCGTCAGTCCTTCAGGAAAATGTAAAAATGCAGATCATCATTATCACGCTTCACGTGTAGATCGAGTGTTTACCATTTGAAACACCGGATACAATAGTTTTAAGCACAAACGTGTCAAATGATGTATGTACCTGGTATAACATATGTATTACCTCGCAGTTAGATCGAACAATATTCCTAACACATGAATCAAAGTCAGTGTTAGTGCTAAAGATATGCAGTGTTAATATTAGTACCTTGTAACTCACCCCCATACACTCAAACACACTCCCCCCTCCACCCAACCAACCCTCAACCCCCACACCATACTCCCCCGCCCCACCCCTACTCGCATATACACACAAAACACAATCACACACACACACACACACACACACACACTCACACTCACATCCCCCAAACAAACACTCACACCCACATCCCCCAAACAAACACTCCCCCCCCCCCCCCGTTAGTCTTGTATCGAACTCCCTTCAATCTCATACAATTTCCTCTCTACTCTGTTTGATATTTTCTCTGAAAAGCCGGAAGGTCGTAATAATGGACATGAAGCTCGTTACATAGAATAAATAAATAAATAACACGCATCCTCGCATACACACAAAAAAGAAATGTGTTTAATTGACCGTGTCCAGGATATACTATCTTATTACGGCAAGTGTGTATGTTGTCTATACATGGTTTGAATGATTTAATTACTTCCCTATTCCCAGCAGTTCGGTTATTTTCCATAACATACCTCTTTATATGGAGTTGTTCTTAATATAACCGAGAGGAAATCACATTTTGGAAAATTTTTGTTTTGAAAACGAGTAATGTTTGTTACATTTAACTGATGTGAAAAGACATCGCACATTATTGTACTTTCCGTGTATCCACTTATTTGGATGTAGCCTGCAGACTGGACAGCTGCAAGATATCAAACATACTTAGTAAAATGTAAGTTATCAAATACACTACACTTAAGCTTTAAAAGATATGTGCTTACATCTATATATCAACATATATTTAAATACTTAAGGCATATACACGACAATACATGTCATTTTGACGTATTGTGTTGATATGAACACGAGAATTATCATACATAAATTCTATTTTTTCTCTTTTTTCTGAATTCCCTTGAAAATTTTATTCTGTATTGATTTTTTATTTTTTTATTTGATAAATCATATGCTGAATCTTCTAGGATTGGAAAAGTAATTTACGTAACCAACCAAACAGATATATGTTTAAGAACTAACAAAAACATGTTTCAAAGACAAAATCAAAGCTTTGAATATACATGTATTTAAGTTATATCTATTTTGAAAATGACTTGGCGTAAATAGATTTTAAAATTTATTTTTATACTTAAATTATCTTTTGAAACGGCGTGTATAATGTGTTTCCGCTGAAATTGCCTTTCATCGCATTGAAATGTACACGTGTATATATGTATTCTAATCTGTGTGTATTCTATCATATTCATAAATTTGAATAACTTAGTATACTGAAATTTACAATGATAGTTTTTTTTATGAATTTATCCATCTAATGTTATTTACGCAAAATTTCAGGGTACAATGAATATATTTTCAAGTGATCGTAGTATAAATTTTTACCTTTTGAAAATGTACAGAATGCAAATTTACGTTTACGTCTTCAATCAATATTTAAAGACTAATATGAAGTGAAAACGAGGCATTGTTTCATTGTAATAACGTATTCTTGCACATTAAACTTTACAGTGTTAAAAAAAATATGTTATTATTTTTTCATTTTTGTTGTAAACTTTGCCTAAATTTTATGTATGTGATACTTAAGCAAAATCTGATGTATCGTAAGATTTTTGCTTAACAAATATGATGTTAATTCGGAATGTTTAATTGATATGAGGTTTTAAAAAAGTGTGTAAAAACCAATTATATACATTATGATTGTACTATTCCGAATGAACGTCACGTAATTTGATGATAATCATACGTTTTACATTAAAACTGATAAAGGTTATAGCATAAATCCCAAGTTTAGAATATAGATAAAAAGTCAAGATGTTATGTGTGTTGAATCAGGTGAAATTTCTGTATTTCTATCAGATATTATTGAAGTATTTTCTGATATGTGACAGCTGATTGTGTGCTTTCTTTGATACTGACGTCATGGTGTATTTCAGAGTGACGTATCCATATATGGGTAACTCTCTTGACTCCGTGTTCGAAAATGAAACCTGGTTCTCTGATGGTGGTCCATGTGCTGTATTTGATATAACACCGTTCGCTTCTGGTCAGCGGCTCGTGGCCTTCAAGGGTGTTATAACACAACCAATGGCACGCAGTCACGTGATTAAAGTATTCAGAGAGAAAACAGGACATGCTTGGGATTCGTCGTATCGACGCTGTTTAAGTTACCTGGAAAGTAGAAATATGACCCAGAAATATCTAGAAGATTTCGGTGAAAATATGTTAAGTTTCCTCGACCTTCGCTCGGCGGAAATGGACAGAGTATCGCTGTTTACAAGTCAAATCCTTACCAGTGACAAATGCCATAAACGCCGTCTTTGTGAAGATGACGTTGTAGTTTTTGAGCAGGATCTCGGTAAAAACTTTAAAACTTTCATAGAACGTGATGGAACCGTGAGCAGTAACTGTTGCGGAAAACTTCAGGAGTTTGTTCATTTCGTTTACAACGAGTCAAAAGGGCAAGAAATTGTGACAGGTTTAAAAGGAGTAAGAGTAGGTCAGAACTTCAAACTTACGTCACCATCCATGAATTCTGTAAGTAAAAAATACGGACCAGATGACTTTGGGGAAGAGGCAATGCTTAACTTCTTTGACAGCCATACATGTACCGACGTCTGCGCACAGTGGCCAAAACCTATAATTCTACATCCGTTTCCTTGTTTAGAGACATTCAACAAAACACATGATGAAGTGACAGCTACTACAGATAACGGGATGTTCAACGGTGACATGCCGCCTGAGTACAATCCAAAATGGCGGATTGATTTTGAGAATTCGTTTTGCAGACAAGAACCATCCGCGCCCCCAGCCTATGATAATGTTACATGAACTATACCACGCTGTGTTCTCAGTCACTTCACAGAAAAACTTACAGGTGCTTTATCTACAAATTTGTTCCACGTGTCTAAGAGATCATCTGTTTAAGCGACTGCTTGGCCGTTAGTATGTGATCGGATGAGATTCCCAGCTGGATGTCCTGGGCAGCGTATTTCAGTGATGTAGCACTATAAAGTTGGAATCCGTTCGGTGCTATTATAACATACGGACATACTGCAGTCTCCTAGAACACCATATTAACCATACATGTTCATAGGACGTTGAAAAGCATAAACTAAACCAAATCAATTTGTATGAACCGGGATTTATAAGTAGGTTGAAAGGACGATCAATCGCATGACTATTCCTTCTAATTATAGAAGAAGACCCCAAACCTACAGAAAAGGACATTGTCATACATGCAAATCAAAACTTGAAATATTGTAATGTGTAAATATATTGATATTTTTTGCACACGTTTATGAAAATAATAAACATTCATTGTATAAATAAACTACATCTCGTTTTTTTCCTGAATGCTTCTTTACGCAAATTTTCACAGTTCGCTTGCCTGCTCGTGACATTACCGTGACCCTCCTTCGGTTGAACTTTACTAAACTCTCTTTAAAGTTAATCCGATTGATTTTTAATTGTACAAGAGGTATGCAGGAAAAAAGTAATTCACTTTCTGACTTAAATGAAACTTAAGTATTTTAAATCTTGCATATCCCTGCTCTGAAATAAAAATTCGCATTAGTGAAAGCCGTTGTGTAAGGCAACGTACAGTTGTAACTCTGTGAAGCCAGTCGGTTTGATGTCGCGAGACAAGTAATATTATGCGAGTATGTCTAATGACTCGACATAAGTACAGTCTAACAAGCAAGTCAAATGCAAGAGAACTGGCAACATTCAACGAGAAGGTTACGAGATCTTTCTTAATGACTCGATATTTTAATCATTACACTACCAAGCCTAATGTCACGAAATAAACTACATAGGCAGTTACAAAAGGTTATTGTTTCTACATCATCTAAATGTTTTCTAAATTATATGTAGCATACATTTATAAACATGGTGCTGGGTATTTCTCACCCTGATCAGTGAAAATATTTCCCCAACACGTCTTTTTAATTTCAACTTTTTCGACATTACACTTCAATTGCTAACAAATTTCCTTTAGTTTGCCACCACAGTGAAATGTCTAATTTTAGAACGACAGCTTACTGGAAATTCTCAGCTATTATACCTGTCGAAATAGGCAACAGGTGTGGAAAAATACAAGTGACATAGTCGAGCTGGTCGGCACATCATATGTTGAAGGTACCCTGTTACTAATGCATGCATGTATATATTGTGTGTAGTTATTAAGATTGGAGATCAATACATGTGTGATAGCGCACATTTTCATAGTAAGCAATACACACGCACACTCGCACGCATGTACGCACGTACAACCCCATCCCATCTCCAGAGAGAGAGAGAGAGAGAGAGAGAGAGAGAGAGAGAGAGAGAGAGAGAGAGAGAGAGAGAGAGAGAGAGTAATATATCATTTTTTTTGACATAACAATACATTGTTTAGAATAGTACATCCGCTGTTATCGATAGAGCTTTTGAAAAAAAATGGAAGTACATATTGTGTTAATAGATATGTTATTTACTAAAAACACTATGTCAATATGGCTCAAATCAACGGTACCTATATATTATTAATGAACTATTAGTGATTTTCCATCAGCTTGGTAAGAAAACAAAACTTCCTGGTTCACCTTAATTATGAAAAATCCCCCCAATCGTTGCATAGATCTTTTTTCTGTATTGAATAATTACCTGTTACACGGACATTTAAATGTTACTTTTGTGTATGAGGGTAGTCAGGCATGCAACCGTTAATGCATAGCCGAGGTATTGAGACCGATATGGGGAGACTTAGTCTACTATAAAACGTGGAGTGTTATGTTTGAGTGTATATGATTCTTTTTGTCTATTTGTATGTATAGTACATGGTATGAGTGTGTTACCTACGCCTTCACATTTCGGATAACTCACTCGGTAGTCTAAGGTATCACCTCAGTGTGAAAGTCCTAGGTTTGAAGTTAGATTTTCTACACTTCTACATCAGCTGTTTATCTCGATTTTTCCCAACGAACATGAACAGTTTTCCATCACGCTGCATGATAAACGTGATGATTTCAATTTCCCTCTTGTGAATTTTCCATTTCTGGATAGAAATATCCCTGCATCCCCATTCTATGATTTTCACATATCACAACTGATTCGATATTCAAGGGCCTGTTCCTTTTATGACGAGCTTGGTGCAAGAACTCGTCAACTGACGGACAAACTCGTTACACAAAGGTTCAAAGCTGTAAGTTGATAAAAATTATGGTTAAATATTATGATTCTCATAGTGATCCCTTGGAGAAATATTCTACTTCTTTGCTGGCTATGAAGCTGAACGTGTTTGATGCTTGTTGATTCACCTGCTGGTTCCGATAGTGTACCATGCTCTCAGTTGAGAACGTGACATTGCTAACTTGGATTGACCAAGGTTTATATGGCGGGTCGCCTGTAAAGCAGAAGACGCTTTTTCTCCTGGAACACCTGGTCTCATTCTCCTTGTACTTTTTTCAAAAGTCTCTATGTAAATCTTTCTTTTGTTCATATTTTGCCCAACGTTTTGATAACGATTCTGTAGATTTGTTGGTATTTTATTGATGTTTTTCAATCCTTACCCAGGACAAGTTTGTATTTCTCAGAGAGATGAAATAACTGATAGCGTTGTGTTGTCGTAGTTGTGTCCTGTTGTAACACGATTTACCACAATTACTTCCGAATGATTAAGTACAAGATAGCTACCACCTTCTACAAGTTGATTCTCAAAATGACTTTTAACACGGGCGATAAACCCAGAAAAAACAAATACCACCCCCTCCCCCCAATTAAAAAAAGAAGTTTATCATATGAATTAAATGCTTTATATAGACATCTGAATAAATATGTATGTACAGTATTACTAAAGCAATGATTTAATAAACTGACATCTTGTGAATGTTGACAGTCGCGGATACTTAAAAAAATATACCAAATGTCGTGCGTGTACATGTAAATATACCTGAGTTGTATTGTTTTAAAGGTCTTTAGATCTAAATGTTCTTTAAGTAGAGAGGTAAGTGGAGAGAGCAAAGAGAGATAACTCTTTCATCTACTGTCGGGGTTGTGAAACCATACACGTACTGACAAAACATAATGTTTACATATTGATGTGACGCCTTCGTCACCATCAGGAGACATAATTTTTTTCTCACTATTTTCTTCATGCTTATGAAATATTTGCAGCAAGGAGCCTCTCTTATTGCGAAATATTTAGGAATTGGCATTGCTTTGTTTTCACTTGAAACAGACAGGTTTGCAAACCTCCCCTTGCCAAGGGTTACCATCCCCCCCAAATAATTAAAAAAACAACAAACAAACAAAAAACAAAAGGAGATGGCCGTTGTCGTGCACGCACAATGTCCCTCGTTGTCACTTAAAGTGATTTGACCTCTTAGGTAATAGAAACTTGCATACCGTTTGCGCATTCCAGCGTGCTGACGCGGGAGCTTTCGCTGTGAATCTTCAATCTTCTATACTATCAATATTTAATACATTTGAAATGTCACAGAGCTTGTTCTGTACAAATTGTCGGAAGTCTAATATGAACTTTGCTGATTTTAAATACTTACGTAGCTTCACTCTTAATAAATAGCAAGTGCCATTTTAAAATTTCATAGATATTTTCATGAAATAATAGTTTTAATTTATTTCTTTGACCTTAGAAACCATATTGGTTACAACATTAAATACAGGATAACATACATTATTTGGTCGCCCTATTCTTTGTGTTTTCTGTTCTGTTGATCTGCGGGCATCTTTGAGGTCTGTTCTATCCTTGAATATTGAATCTGTGTCTTCCTTCTCACGTGTAATTTTCTCTCTACATGCAAAGTAAAATCAATGTTAGGTATCATTTGAGGAACCAGATTCTTGTGTCTATCCAGTACTGTTTTTTGATTAGTAGGCCCCGCTTGTCACTCGGACACACCCATAATATGGAAATATGAATAACGGGATAGTATTTTGGACAACATGTTTCGATATTTCCGCCCTAAACCATCATTATACACCGTGGTAAACATTACAATATCACACTAACGCATCTTTACACGATGGTAGATGCCTGGTTTGGTTGTGGGCGGGTCCCATCTTACTTGCAAATGTGTTATGTGAATATGAAATGTAAAATTCACGCACAATCTAACCCTCTCCCTAAAATACAATATACATATCTTTGTTTAAAAACGATTTCTGTACCAATCGATGCAAGTATCGATTCCAGTGAATTAATGGGATATATGTCGAGCATATAGCAATTACGTCAAGTGTATATCATAAGTAAATACTGACGAATTACATTGTTTAATGATAAACCAAAGCATAGCCACAAAACCCAATTAATATATCTCCAGCTCAGTTTGGTAGCTGTCTATTGTATTTTACACATTCAATCAATGAATATTTCTATGATAACTGTTATTTTAGATATGTAAAATCTCTATGATTAACTTCAAACTACTAACGCTTCGTCCTGATGTTGAATATAATGTGTTTGGAGTTGAATTCTACCAGCCATTTTATGTTGTCTAAAATTATAAAGCCACCAAAACGGTTAGTAGATATAATCCTTATATTCTGAACGTCAAACTCTGTCTCTCTCTTCCAGTAAAACATAATCAGCAGTCTGCATTTATGAATCCATCATGTACGGATGACTGACAGTAAGTACCTGTTTTACCTGTTTCTAAAATGCTCCACCGCCGGCCATTGTGAGATTATACAACGGTCGGAACCAGCCTGGCTAGGTCATTCCGGTCAAAATCTGAATGCACGTGGCATCCTGTTGGATTTATTGATTATGTAAATGTGATATATAACGCTTTCACTCTTATGGATGATATTCAAATACTCTTTTCAAT